CACACCAATTATTATATGCATGCTACATAGGTTATTATTTAGGTCACCTGATGAGTGATGAAGAGGCTTACGATATTTTGTGCGAGTGAGTCTTTTTCTCGTTGATTTGATGTAGTGTAGATTTTGAGGTAGCCTAGTTGGCTATGACTCTAAAGAGAGTGATCTTGTCGCTTTATGCGAAGTTGCCTTTGGTGGGCTCACCTTACATCACACTCTTGGTCTTCATGAGGTATCCACCAAGACTCATTGGCTATAGGAGACTCATGCTCTACTCATTTATTAATCATGTTGCAAAAGGAGTCTTCCTATAGGGTTGATTGCTTGGGTATTGGCCATCTACAAAGGACTTGCATGCTACTCATTATGATTCTTGTCGCAATGGAGGAAGTCAGCTTGTAGTGGCTAAGCAGTTTTGTAATGAAGTTTGACGACAAGTTTATTTTGTGGAGGTACCTATGGAAGTGCGAATAAGTGCCTTTATAAAATTTGGTTTGATAGTTATTATTTTTATAAAAAAATTTCTTTTTCTTTTTTTATTCTTTTTGTTGAAGCGGCCTAGCTTATTAAGATAATTTTTTAGATTGAAATGTTACTCACCTTAGGTACTTAGTAGAGAATAAGAAGCAGATCTCACCCAAGCGGCGACTTACCATTGCTTTGGGGCTTTTAGTCCCTCTGTAGTTTTTCAATGCCTGGGGGCTGCGACTCTCTTATAGGGAGTAGTTCAGCTCGAACTTCAGCTTGAGCTTGGGTGGGAACTTGGAGCTTGCCCAAGACGAGAGTGGCCTGCTCATTTGTCCTTGTCGTCTCGATTTTCTCGAGTATTAGGGCGACTCTCCTACATGGGTGAGCCCTTCTTCTATTTAGGCCTCAAGGTACATGAGTTTCCCAAGTTTTATTATTAAGGATTTCTTTTTAAGTATATTTGTTTTTTTTTTGGAAAGGACCAGCTTACATATGAGAATGAAAGTAAAATAAAGGAATCTTTTATTGCTTGTTTGAAAAAGAATACAAGTAATGTCATATAAGGGTGTGGACAAATTTAAAATCAATATCACACAAGATTTTCTTTAAATTATATTTAGGTTTCTTTAGACAAATTTGCATAGATTGACATTATACCATCTCGAAGTGGTATATGCAAGTAGCACGAGGAAGTTCCTCTTCCCTTGGTGCTAGTGTCCTTGCTATGCTGAAGAGCCTTGGTTGCACGGGTGTCCTATGTTGCTCAGGGTGCTAGAGAATAGCGATAACACAATGAGTTTGGTTTTCTGTTCTCATATCCTTGGGACAAATTCTTTCCTGCTCTCTTCCTTGGCGAGGATCTTTCCTTCGGGCAACTTCTTGATGGCGAGTGGCCAAGGAAGATTTACCTACCATATTATACTCATCATTTACATGATTGTTATCCAACTTCATTAGTTAGGCTAGTGTTCTCGGATGCCGTAGATCAAGTGCATATTTAAAATGATCTTCTTGTAGTCTCTTAGTCAAGGCCTTGTGTACTTGTAGTCTCTAAATCCTTCACGTCCATCATCTCCTTTTAGAACCTCATGATGAAGCTCCCTAGTGACTCGCCAAGCTCTTGCCTCTTCTTTAGCAAAGCCTGCGAGTTCTTTTGGTGTTTTTGGGTGCTAGCGAATTTCATGAAGAACAATTGCTTGAATTTAGGAGAGGAGGTGATCATCACCAGGCGCAGGCGAATGAACTATCTTAGCACCGACTCCTTAAGTGCCATGAAGAAGAGGCAACACTTGAGGGCATCGTCTATATCTAGTAACAAGGCCATAGATCCACAGGTTTTCACATGATCTGTGGGATCTGTCTTGCCTCGATACAACGCCAAGTGAGGCACATTGAATTTAGGAAACATTCTTGATTTGGCGATTGCCTTAGAGATGATAGTGGTCTTGGTCGGTGGGCTTTCTTCTTTATCACTCGCCTTGGTGCGAATGCGAGTATAATCAGGGATTGGCATGGGGGAAAGCGCTTTCTCTGAACGTCTTGGGTGAGCTGTCGAGTCAAAGGATCCCTCAGGCAAGCTATTAGCTCATGCTTGTCCTTGGAGACAATTCAATACACCCTGAATCGTCTTTGTTAGTTTTCCATTTCTTGCAGGTTATGACAAATGTTGAATTTGGCATTCTCCATGTTTACTGTGAGCTTATGTTGAGGTCGCTCATTAAATTGAGTTTGTGTTCTTATCATTGGTATTGATCCATGCTTATCGCACCTAGGAGGATATTGAATCTGAATTTGTTAGTTGGATGATACATGACTTCTCCAGTAGGCCAATTTAGTGAGCTGAGAACCTTTTAGTGATAATGGAGAGCAGAGAAGTAGAGAGGAAGAAAGAAAGTTATTAGAATCTCCCTATCTCAATCTAAGATTGTAGAGAAAAGGCCAGAGATCCAAAATCTCTAGCCAAATGTGAGAAAGTGATTAAAAAAAGGTCCTTTATTGTTCCTCATCACCTTTTATTTATAGTTTTGAGAGCTACAAAAAAGACTACTTAGAGAAAAATATAAATACAAGCTATATTGAATACCCATATAACCTACATATTAATCTTAGACATATGTCGCCTCCTATAATGGATACCTTTACAATGATCTGACGAGCTCGAGAGGGGTTTGTAAGCGTAGAGTGAGTCTGTGGGTGAGTCCAAGAGGAGATAAATATGTGGCGGATGAATTGTATTACTAGATCAATCACTATCGTAATTGGCTTGAGGTTGCCTTCTCATGAAAGGCGAGTAAAATTATTCAGGGATAAGAAGTCTTTGAGCATGATAGTAGTAGCTGAATGAAATGTGGTCGATTGGGTAAGCTCTTCCCTGTAGTAGAGTGGTGAGCTAGAGTGGAGGATCTTATTAAGATGAGTAGTATTGCGGCAAATTGTGAGGAACTTGGTCACTCAGCATGGGGTGTGCTCCTTGGCGAAGGTGGGTTAGTGATGCCCATCCTTGTCCTTGGGTAAGTTTCTCTACTAGTTTCGGGTGGGACTTTAGAGGGATATACTCCTAAGAGGTGATACCATTATCACAATCAGGTTGTTACTTATCAGATACATGAGAAGGTGATCATGGATACACAGGTAGAATTTGCCTAGATGATATGGATGATCGCCAGCCTGAAACTCATAGGAATACTCGCCTAGGCCTACTAAGGAACTCACCCAACACAAGGTGGACCAAGACCCCCATGTCAACTACTCATCACCCACCACATGCTAAGTAGCCACATGCACCAGTTACTTCCTCCAGAGCAAGCATCCTTCATCCAAACTTAGTTACAGGATAATGCCTTTTCAAGGAGCCCTCAACTTGCCCTATCATGATCGCCCAATCTCCAAACCTGCCTTATTCACAACCATAAATCACTCGCTTTCTTATTTAAGCGATCCAGGACTCAGGTTAGGGCCCTAGCACTTCTAGAGCATTCAAGCATGTTCTCCTCAGGAATTGCTTGTAGGCTTCCTCACGCCTACCGATACTACCAAACTCGCCCAAACAATGAAGCTGATATAGTGCACACTTGGTACCACCATGCTCACTTTGATACAAATTGAGAGAATTATACAACCCTCGCCTCCTCAGCCAATTAGGAGGCAAAACGTGTCTAGGCTAGTGTGTATTATTTTATGGGGGGTCTATGTAGCATTGTAATTTTTACTTTTCTCTATATTGCCTTTGTTGTAGTCCTTATAGTCTTGTTAATAAGGGGTTATGAGGAACAATTTAGGGCACTTTTAATTGATAATATAATGGATACTCTGCTAGTTTTTTTATCATTCCACAGATTGTTTTCTTTTCTCTTAGGCCTACTAGTAAGGTCTGATGTCTTCCTTGGACATATTTGGATTCAACAGATTTATTGAACAATACATTGATGCTTAGATATGGGTTTTCAAAAATGCTATTTTTTCTAGGAAAATGCTTGTCTTGCCATCTTCAACAATCACTAATAGTGGTGGGTGACCTTTTGCGAGGATAGGTTGATGGAAATGACTATATATGTTTAATTTAAGGCATGAGAATATAATTTGGAGTTTATGGTTAAAGGTTTGGTGTTTAAAGGGGTCTCGTGTGAGGAATGTCGAGACTAGTTTGGCTTGGGTTAGTTTGGGTTTATTTGGAATATCACTTTAGAGAATTGGTTTTAAGTGGTGTAAAATGCTAAAATTTATAGTGAATGACTAGCTTAAGGATGTTAACTTGTAATCAAAAGTAGATGATAAGATTTTGTTTAGGTTAAGAGGGTATCAAAGTGTAGGGATCAATACTTGGTTTTTATTTTTGTTTGTCAAGAAGTTGAAGGTAGGGATTGGGTTGGATGTAAGGTTTTTGTTTGTTTGTTTGTTTGTCTTGGCAGATGCTTATGAAGTGGAGAAAGAGATATTCAGAGTTTAGAGTGGGGGATAGAGATGATTAACACATGCACTTGAATCCACGAAGCACAAAGAAAATGAGAAGATGTTTTCTTCATCAAATATCTTATTCAAAGTTAAAATATTAAAATTCATATCAGTTCTCTTGTATCGGCTTTACAAGAGTTTCAAACTCCCCTCATTTCAAACAAAGAGGAAGGAAAGTTTTCGAGGAAAAAGTATAGAATCCGACTACTTAATGAAGAAGGAATTTGAATAAAAAGTGATTATATATTTTTTCATTTCAACAAAGTCTCTGTATGTTGAAGTCCAAGCTTTATCCCATGATGGAAATAAATTTTCAACATTTATAAGTTGAAGTTACATTAAGATTTTTCATGATTGGGCACTTGCAAGGGTCCTTGATTGTACTCTTTCTCTTTGTTCTTGCAATTGGACCGTAGCTGATTTAGTCATTTAAATGAGCCCATCCATTCAACTTTCGAATTGTAATCCAATATTCTCAAGTATTTACATATTTCCCTTTTATGATTATTTTTGAGAATGAGCTCATATTCTGCATCAATCACACTCCTTAGCTATGTATAATTTTCTGCATTTTTTCTTAACAGGCAGGCCTAGCAAAACTCATAGGACTTGCTGGGGATACAAATGTGCAGGTAAGTTTTAGGTTGAATAGGTGCTTAATTAACAAGTACTATTCTAATAAACAATTTACTTTCAAATAGAGATTTCTTTATTTTTGATTCACATAACTAATTCTTGCTTGACTTTTGAAGCTTAGGGTGAAGAACAGAAGAAATTAGATGTTCTTTCAAATGAAGTTTTTGTTAAGGCTTTGATAAGTAGTGGGCGTACGGTAAGTCTGTAATCTTTGTAATTAGTTTTGTACCATTTTATTTACATATCTATCTTTTTTTTTTCATGCTAGTCTTGTATAATTTCCGGCAGTGCATTCTTGTTTCAGAAGAAGATGAGGAGGCAACATTTGTTAGTCCACCATTGCGTGGAAAGTATACACTAATCTCATTGCTTGATTATTTTTAGTTTACATAATAAAAAATATACAACTACAATTTTTTTTTGTGATAATGCAGATATTGTGTGGTTTTTGATCCACTGGATGGTTCCTCTAACATAGATTGTGGTGTTTCAATCGGAACAGTATGTTGCTCTTCATTTATATTTTTGTAAATGAAGTCAAAATCCTTATCCGTTGTCCAAAATTTCATTCTTTGGTAAAACTTCGCATAACTATTCTTGGATGGAAATATTGATATGCTCTACAATTTATCTTAGATCTATAAATTCTATCTTTAGTCATGTCTTTTTGTTTGTTTCTAGATTTTTGGGATCTACCTAGTGAATGACTTAGAGGCAACAATAGATGATGCTTTGCAACCAGGGAAAAACATGCTAGCAGCTGGTTATTGCATGTATGGAAGTTCTTGCATGGTAAACTTATTACTCTTGCTTGGTGTACGTCTTTCCCATAACAATAGAAACCTTGAAATTCAGTGAAAATTACATAACAGAGCAGTAAGCACGTTTCTTATTATTTTTTACAATGTATATTTTCCTATCCTTGTGTTCATCTAATTCTATTTTATTCAGTTGTGATTTTACAGATAATTCTATTTTATTAAGTTGCAATTTTACTAAACCTTGAAATCTCACCTACAGCTTGTGCTAAGTACTGGGAATGGTGTAAATGGTTTCACCCTAGATCCATCTCTAGGGGAGTTTATACTGACCCATCCAGATATTAAGGTAAGGTTGTTCACATGAATAAATCATTTGTCCATCTAACAAGCTGAATATTTGTTGGCTCTGTACTACCCTTGTTAATTCAACTTAAACAAAATAAGCAAAAACCTCAGTGTAATGTAAACTTTGGATTTGGAATAAGAATCTTTACAGCATTATTTTATATTCGGTATAGTGCATGCTCATTTTCTGAAGTTCATGCACCTCTCCGTTAACTACCTATTGCTAGTCTTGGAATACATAATTGTTTATTAAATTTTTTAAGTAAGATAACATCTTGAAGCCTTGATGCATGAAACATTATCCACGCATCTTTTTTTAACTGAGAGGTGACTTTTGTTTTTATTCTGCAGATACCAAAGACAGGAAAAATATATTCAGTAAATGAAGGAAATGCCAAAAACTGGGATGGACCAACGGCAAAGTTTGTGAACATAAGCTAAATGATCTTGCTTATTAGACGTTTATACTGCTTTCTTATTAGATACTGGCTGATAGGTACATAGAAAATTGCAAGTTCCCTAAGGATGGTTCATCACCGAAATCTCTTCGTTATGTTGGAAGGTGATTGCATTTGTTGACATTTAATTTTTACAATTTTGAAAAGTACTTTTTTACATTATTTAAATGTTATGTTTATGGAATTCTTCCTTTGTGTCACGATCCGGCCTAGTGAGCTCGCAAAAGGGCGAGGCAGGAACGAAAGTCGGACAGTATGAATTAAAACATTTACATAACTTTATTAACATGTCTCCAAACATAAAGAAAACATGCTCAACATAATGAAAGAGCCGCTAAAGAACTCAAAGTAAAATTTTTTCGTTTCATTCATCAATCAAAATCAACATATACATGAAGATTCATTTCAAAATGAAGGTGTTCAAAACAAAACTAACCATCAAAATTATCATATACATCCATCTATAACAAAACAACAAAAACTCAAAAAGGAACCTGCCGCCCGTCGTCTCCCTACGACGGTAAGTATGCGGTGGTTGGTCCGCCATTAATGATTTGCAGGATCTCCTGAAAATTTCCCACAACATGGGTGAGCCATAACTCAATAGGTAAATGCTTTTCGATTAAATTTCAAAAAATAAGGTAAAAAGGTAACATGTATGCCAATGCTTCTAGTGTAGGAACAATAAACATGTCATAATATTTAGCTAGCATGCCTCTAAGTCATCAATTAAGTCTCTTTCCTTGGATAAGCTTGCAATCAATTTTCTTATACATTGCATGATTTATTTTCATGATTCATGTGATGCTTCTTATATATATATATAATATAATATAATACATAATTTATAATCACTCGTCTTGGAAGTATATTTGTACTGATCAGGTACACATTAATTGGCCATTCCTTTACCATTTGGTTCAAAAGACCCCATTTATCATTTGGCTCAAAAGAGCCCCATTATCATTGCTCAAAAGAGCTCCTTTACCATTGATACTTCCGCGTCAACATGAACATGCATATATTCTTTACTTAGTTATAAAAAGAACTTTAGCATCTCCTTAATGTAGATAGTCTATTGTTCCATAAGGTGCTACATGATTACATAGTTTCATGAGAAAAGAGACACGAGCTATGTACTTTCTTTAATCATCACATAAGAAGGATACAATTGCATTACAAACTACCACATGAGAAGGGCACCTGCATTGTAAATTATCACACAAGTAAAACATGTGCATTATAGTAGGCATATGGTCAAGTGTCTCTAAATCTTTATACATGAGTACATATTATTAAGCTAATCATAAGAGCATGTTGTATGACATTTAGGAGCATGTTAGGATGTAGAAGATAAATACAATTGCAATAATGCTAAGAATTGTTGGAGAATTTTTGTATCCTCTAACGGATTGCATATTTTACAATCGAGTACGGCATAAGAACATGATATATTACCGCGAAGGGTAAAAAATATCATTTATTTATGGACTCAACTATAAAATTTACAATTATTAACAGAGATTCCCCCACTCGATGTTTGATCGAGTGGGGTTTATTTATTTCTGGGGTACAGACGTCCCATAAGGGCAAGCCCCTATGGTTAATTACATCCTAAGTTTTGCTTTGGAAAAACTTTTGATTAAACTAGTGGGTTTCTTTCTTTTTGAATTCATTTAAACATTAGCTATGATTTGATTTTTGAAATCCATGAAAGTCTTAGTTAAAGGATTTGACCTTTAAAAATTTCAAGGAAAATTTGATCAACTTAGAGTCAAATTTTGGAATGAGAGGTAAAGGAGGTGAGGTAGGAGCACTTGATTCTGAGGGAAACTCAGAGGTGCTCAAACTATCCTATGTTGGGCTTTACATTTTAGCAATCTAATTTTGGTTTAAATTGACATTTTTTATTAGAAAGTTGGGGCTTACATTCCTTTAACATATGTTGTAAGAATTGCCCGAAAGGTGAGGGCTTATAGGGTGATTTGGAATCAACCCATGCCTCGGACCCTAAGACTAAGGTGAGGACTACCGATAGGTAGCGCCTCAAACCTAAATCTAACGAGTGCAAAAGAGACTTACAAATTACACCTCACATGAGGCATAATTTGCCTAACCTTTGGATTTACTGTCCCGCCTAGAAGGGACTACCAGCTAGACCCACCTAGTCGCTTTTAAAACTATGCCATCCGGTCTCAATGAAAATGAAGAGTGGGAAGGCTATTTTTCTATTTAGAATGTAGGATTTATAGCTTAGCTTTGAGGCTAAGATGCCTAAGTATGTGGGTATGCATATGTTGACTCACAAAAAGAGAATTTTTTGTTAACTAGTCCTTAAGTGGATGCATTCTACATATGACACACTTTGGCTATGCATGATTATTTTAAGTTTTAGAAAAACTCAGCTCTTTGAAAGAGAGCCATGCAAATTTTTTTTATTAGAAAATCATGGAGCCTAATTTTATTTTTAGGTTGCTTACATTTTAAGAGGGTAGAAAATTTATTTTATCTTAAGAGCCTAACGCAACAGAGTCCAGGCCACACCCAAATAAAGAAAAGAAAGAAACTTAGGAGAAAGATGCATTTCTATTGTGCACCTAGTAAACAAACAACGCATGCTTTTGTATATAAATAAAATACAATAAGTGTAGATAGAGTCCAAGTTATTACAAGTATGTTTGGCAGCTGAGTTGCCTGCCATTATACAACCCAGTCAAATTAATAGACTCTACTTGTGGGGGTCTTCAAGCTTTAACATTCAGAGAGGTCTTTGGACTTCATCTCCAAAATAGTACATTCTCCTTCGATCCTCCCTTCTTTTTAATCAAGCCTCACAAGTGTTACATCCTAGATCTAATCAAATACTTGATATGAAATAGAAAAAGACTCAAATCTGCAAAACAGAGTTAGGAGGCAGTTTATATAATAAGCACATAATCATTCCAAAATTGGCCTAGCACTTAGAGTGCTAAGTGCTAGGCCCCTGCTTCTACCCTATTGGCCATGCCTCTTGGGGGGTTTTAAGCAGTGCCTGCAAGCAAATAGCATTATGATAATCATGATTTAATTTACCCCCTTTTGTACATGACCACCTGCACAGAAAAGCATGTATATCTTTCTATACTAACCACTTAAGGGCAAGTGCCCACAACGCAGACAATCCAAAAGTCAATCACTCCATAACATCAATCACATGCACACACAAAGAAAAATCCTAATCCTAGTGTGCCTAAGGGGTTGTGCACCTAAGTGTGTGAGGCTTGTGTGGTATGTCACACTAAGGATTCTCCTAGAGTTTGTGTCTAAGGGAGAAGCGTCCAACATATGAATTTTGAGCTTAATGTTGGAGGGATTCTCTTCCTAACTTTTGGAGCTAGGAGAAGAGTGAATTATTTTAGCTTTGAGGCTAAAGAATGGGAAGAAAGAGAATCTAACACATAGCTTTTGGGCTAAGTGTTGGAAGAATTCTCCTTAGCTTTTGGGGCTAAGAAGAGAAAGGAGGAATCTAACATTTAGCTTTTGAGCTAAATGTTAGAGATCTCTCTCTAGCTTTTGGAGCTAAAGAGAAGGGAAATCTCCTTCAACTTTGGAGTTGGGAGGAGAGTTAGGAACAAGCTAGGAGTTTGACTCCTTTGCTTAACATATAATTATTTTGTTGAGTTTGGTTCAATAAGTAAATGATTTTGGATTAGAATACTTGTTGGTTTTGTTTCAATAAATAGATGATTTTTAAGTGTCTAATCACACAACGTGGGTTGAATGAATGAGATTTTCATACACCTTTTAAGTTGTAGAAAGAAAGGAAATTCCTCTACAAATTTTTGTTTGTAGAGAGAAGAGGGAGAAATGCAACTTGAAGGTTGCAATGTGGAAGGTTTTCCTTGAACATTTGATGTTCAAAGAAAGAGACTCACATTCACTTAATTTAGGCTAAGTAAATGGAGAGATTCCCTACACATTTTGTTTGGTAGAAGAATGGAATGTGCAACTTAGAGGTTGCAATTCATGAATGTCCTTGAACACTTGGTGCTCAAAGGGGGATTCATCCTCCCAACTTGGGTTTGAGAGCATGAAGAAAGGTTTAAATGCTCTCATACAATCTTAGCTTGTAGGAAAGGGAGAGGGAAATGCAACTTAGAAGTTGCAAATTATAGAAATCCTTTGAACATGTGGTGTTCCAAAAGAGATGGGTACATTCTCCTAATTTTGAGTTTTAGGAGGATGATAGGGTTTTCCTACAACTTTTGGGTTGTGGAAAGGGGGAAATAATGTGCAACTAATAGATTTCACATTCATGAGTGCCCTTGAACTTGGACATTTTGTATCCAAAGAGAGGTTATCATCCACTTAAGTTAGGCTAAGTGAATGGAGGACCTAGATTTAAATACCAAATTTAGAGGATTCATTGGTTTTGCGTTCCATTGAATGAGTGATTTGCTAGGCTCCTTATAACTTTGGGGTTAAAGGAGAGAGATGTGACTTTGAAGTTACAAAATCTCATGAATGCTCTTTGAGTACTTGATACTCAAGGGGAAGGTCATTCACTTGGTTGAACTCGAGTGAACAGGGATAGATGCTCATTTGTTAATTTTATGACTCAACAAATAAAGGAGATAGCTTAGGATTTGTTTCTAGGACATAGAGCCATGTAACGACACTGTTTGGAGCCTTTGGAGACTCCAAGTCATTCATGGGGGAATGTGTGTTGGTATTATGTTCCAACAACAAGGTGGGAAAACTTGGACGTTGGTTCCAAGTTGGAGAGAATTTATGCAATACCGTATTTGGAGCCTAGGGGTGCTCCAAATGTTGTTACATAAGAGATGCAATTTGTAGTTTTTTGAACTACAAATTAGGAGGGTCATCTACCTGCATAGATTAGACAAATGAGGTAGGCTAGATTTAGGATCCTAAGCCTAAGAAGGGAATTCTTTTATTGATCTTTGTGTCTCAACTGAAAGAAAGAGGTAGCTTAGATTTTTGGTTCTAAGCTACAAGACTTTCATATAATGATAGGTTGGAATTTAGAGAGTTCCAAATCATCACATATGAGAGAAGTGCTCGTGTGCTAATTTCGTATTATTAGCAAACAGAGAGGAGACCT